CCAGAGGTACAGTAAAAGTTCAGTATGAGGGAGGGGTGAGGATCTCGTGCTGAACAGGCACACTTTTTGTAGTATATATTTAAAACCCCACTGTGATACAGTCCTTAATCAGGACTTGCAGGCTGTAATTAATAATCCTTATGCTTCCTGCCTGACTTACTTAAGGGCCCATCAGTTTAGCCTGACTTTGGCATGACATTATAAATGATCAAATTAATTTTTAGCCTAGTGAAGAATTTCGGCAAGGTAGAGTTTGGGAAACATTGTTTGTGCAACAAAGTGCTCCAAATGCCTCTTCCAAACTGTGCCACCTGGTAACTACAGAGCTTGGAATTCCCACATCTGTAAAGTAAGAATGATGGGATTTACCTCTGTCAGAGATTCTGATCATGAATCGATGCCTGAATTGTTCCACAATCACAGGTTGCTCCAAGCCCAGTCAAGCCTGGCCTTGAATGCTTCCAGAGATGGGGCAGCCACAGCTTCTATGAGCAACCTGTGCCTGGGCCTCCCCAGCCTCACAGGGAAGAATTTCTTTCCAATATCCCATCTCTCCCTGCCCTCTGGTAGTGGAAGCCATTCCCTCTCATCCTGACACTCCAGGTCTTGTCCCAGATCCCTCTCTGAGATCTCTTTAAGGCACTGGAAGGGGCTTTAAGGTCTCCCCAGAACCTTTTCCTCTCCAGATGAGCAACCCCAGCTCTCCCAGCCTGGTTCCAAAGCAGAGGGGCTCCAGCCCTCGGTGCATTTCTGTGGTTTCCTTGCGACTCACTTCAGCAGCTCCACATCCTTCTTGTGTTGGGGTCCCAGAGTGGAGGCAGCTCTGCAGGTGGGGTCTCACCTGAGTGGGGCAGAATCCCCTTTTAACAAAACACCCAGGTTTCTACAATGCACCTACAAGAAAGGACACAGAGAAATGTTTGGGGAATGTTCAGTGCACAGCCATTCTTGGGAGCCCTGAGCTCATCCAATGCTTGCTGAAGTTGCTTGAATATTCCTAGGATTGGCTCCAGTGAAGTAAGTGGTGGGTCTGGGCAATAGTCTCATCCTCAGAAAGAGGAATCTGGGATTTGGAACCAGCCTTTGCAGATTGTGGAGCTGCTCAGTACATCAGCCAGTCCTCTGGGGAGCTTCCTTTCGGTTACAGTGGGTGATGGCAGCAACAGCCCCTATGGACACAACACCTGGGGGGGCTGTGAAGTCCTGAGGGGTCTTCCCTGGGAGCAGACTTCCCTGTGCAGACCTGGCTGGCATTTGCCTGGTGAAGATCGCTTCAGCCTTGCAGCCCTGAGTGCTAGGGAGCAAACCAGCTTGGTGGGGAGCCAGCAAACTGCCTCAGCACCTGCAGTGCTACAAGCAGAAGGTTTTGTGTTTTGAGCACTTTGTTAGGGTCAGAAGCAGCCCTTGGCTCTGGATCCTGTAGGAACAAAAGTTTCCCCTGCTAGAGGCTTCCCTTGAACCTGCTGCACTGGCAGATTGATCCTGCGCCCTCCATATGGTCCCTAAAGAGATCAGGGCTTGCTGAGATCCTGCTCTCAGATCCATGTGGGCAAGTTTCCATAAGTTAATTTGCTCTGCTGCAACGGGCAAAAGCAGGGCCAGGTCTCCTCAGGAACCTTGAGTTCACAATCTGATCATCCACACCCAGCATCTCTGGGGCTGTGCACACACACCCCTCTCTTATGCTGGGGGCAGCCAAAAATTTGGGAGATCCTCTGTGAAAACAGCCAAGAAGGGCGGGGTACTCATTTTAAATTGGTGGTGACTTGAAAATTATTTTTCTGCATAGTGGAAAGTAGAGTCATAAACTCCTTGTAGCATTTATTAATCATAGATGTGTTTTAAGGGAAGATTGTTATCTCTCAGTCTGTGCTGTGTTAGCAGCTGAAAGTCCCAGCCCTGACTCTGCTAGGAGCTCTCCTGACACGGGGGAAAAGGCAGCTCTTGTTCTGGAGAAATAATAACACATAAAAGGAAATACTAGGTGGTTATGGCCGGTGGGGAGCTGAAGTTCTGTTGGACAAACTGAAGGCTGCCCCTCAAAAAGGGGTGAGAAAGCAGAAAGAAGCTGGCCACACTTGTGTCGTAATGAATAGTTGGATGTGTCACTGCTACAGCTGCTCTCCTGCTCTCCAGCTCTGCAGGGGTAATTGCCCACGCCCAGCACTTCAGCGTGTTGGGAGTGGATGTGACCATGGTGTGAGGGTTGTGCTGGGATGAAAAGAGCATCTTCCATTCGCATCCCCAAACAGCCGTGTGTGTGCACAGACAGCGGCGCTCAGCTTCCACCGGAACAGTCCCCAGGGTGTCTGGGCAGGCAGGGTGATAATGGAAAAGGAATGCAGGGAGGGTAAGGAGAGAAAATCAGCATCCTGGGTAAAACCCTGCCGGTCCCCAGTGGCAGTTGGCTCCTGTGTGCACCATCTCTCCTCCCACCCTCCCTGGGAAGGGCAGGCGCTGCCCGTACTTGTCATGCCAGTCACACACATGCTGGTGCACAGACTTAACACCCTCCACAATAAATCGAAAAGATTAATTACTAGGAAAAAAAAAAAAATCCCACAACCCCACTTGCAGCATTTGAAATTCGTCTCAACCAGTGCTCTGCTCTGGTTATTCATGGGGAAAAGAAATCACCTCCTGAATCGAGCAATTGAGAATGCAAATATCCCAGCCTGGCTCAAAAGAGGAATCAAGCTCTGTACTGTCAAGCTGATTAGCATCCTGTTCCGTGGGGTACTGCCCTGAGCCCAGAGGGAAGATTTGGGGACAACTGTGCTTAATGCTTAGGGATGAGGTTTCTGAGTTTTGCCCAGAGAAAAATTACAGTCTTGCTACACCCCGTCTGATGACAGACTGTAGAGATGTTTTCTTGTTCTCTTCACAGCGACTGCCCTTTCTCTGGTGAGATCTTTCAGCCTTTTGTTTCCTGTCACTGACCAGCTGTTTTTTGTGAGTTGAGTTTTTTTGTTGTTGTAAAACTGAAGCTTTCTACAGGCAGTGGAACAAAGATTTTCTTTTTTCTCTTGTGAGCAGGGAGGGAAAGTACATCGGAGCAGTTTCTCATGGGAGTGGGACTTCTGCTTGCAAGAAGGATTTTATACTTCATTTTGTCTTTTTCCCCCTTTCCCTGAAAGCAGTGTAGATGCGTCTTCCAGAAAGACTAGGAATTATATCCTGATCCCTTTCAGTCCATATCCCAGCAGTAGGGTGGGAAATGCAGCATTTGGGAGTTGGAAATACTCAGCAAGAAAGAAGCAAAATGAATCCCGGTCTGCTCCTTGTTGTGATGTCTCAATGAACGTAAATCCTCTGTAACATTCCTCTTGGCCCGTTGCAGATGTCAGAGGGGAAAATAAAACAAGAGCTCTCCTATGAAGTGCAGGAGTGTGAGTGTGACTGGAAGTTGCAGTGACAGGCAGGTTTTGTGTGGTCTTTTTTTCCCCCAAAAAGCTGCTGTGCATCCTTGTTTCCCAACTTGAATTTTCAGCCAGACTTCACTCTTCTTTGTCCCTTTGCCATCCCCTCCGTTTCCCGAGTTGCCTGCAGCAATGTCCAGGAGACTTTAGAGCTGTTTCGACATGTGCTGGCAGGGTGGGCCTGTTGGTGAGGATATTTCACGTGAGATGTTTCCTGACCCACCCTGACAGATCAGGCCTGGGATGGGTTTGCTGCCACTGCCTAAGTTAAGCCTCCCCCATTGGATTAAGGCTTCAGCACCAGAGCTGTCACTGCCATAAAATCTGTATTTGAAGTTGAATTTCCATTAAGCTCTCCCATTTCTCACAACCTGCTGCTGTGTCTCTAAATATAAAATTTGTGTTGGTGGCATTTAGACTGGGTATCAGAGAAGGGTTCTTCCCCCAGAGGGTGCTGGCACTGCCCAGGCTCCCCAGGGAATGGGCATGGCTCTGAGGCTGCCAGAGCTCCAGGAGCATTTGGACACCACTCTCAGGCGCAGAGTGGGAGTTTGGGATGTCTCTGTGCAGGGCCAGGAGTTGGAATTTGATCTTTGTGTGGTTCTGTGATTCTGTAGATTAGAACCACACCCTTTCAGTGTGGTGGCTGCTCTGCATATCCTTTAGCATAGAAATGCATGGGGTGTTCAGGATTGTCCTGCTCATTCCCTGCTGCAACAAGTCCCTTCTCTTAATGATTCTGGTTTTTTGGGAGAGCTCTTAAGTTAGAGGAGGGAGGCTGGATATAGGCATCAAGTTGTATTTTCATGTAAAAATTGAATTTTTGAAGATGTAAACATATGCAGTGTTCATTGAAGGCCAGTTCAGCTCATTGTGGTTTAACAAAAATTTTTGGAATTTAAAATGAATGTAGCTGTGGTGCAGGGTTTTTCGTGCTGGGAATCTTCTCCCCAGTTCATCTTCAAGTCAATGCATGGGATGACTGAAAATAGCAGCAGCATGTCTTGGTGAAATCTGACATTTGGCCAGGATTTTCTGCACATCAGAGACTGGGCAACAATTACCTGGGACAAAGTATTTCTAAATTAACACATTGGTGAAGGGGAGGGTGATGATTTCAGGTATGTCCTAGCAGGGTTCATGACACCAATGCTAACCATGTGGGAGTTACTCTTTCCAACCTGGATCTTTTTTTGTTTACTGGGTGTTACCTCCTTGATAACACTTTTGGGTTGCTCTTTTGCTTATGGACTTGTTTCCGTTTAATTATGCTACATGTGATGGTTGCCATCCTTCTGTTGCTCGTGGAGAGGTAGCTGAGCCTGTGTGCCTCATGTACAGGGAAGTGGAATTTCCATAAGCTCTCCCATTGCTCACAACCTTTAGCTGTATCTCCAAAACGTGCTGGAAACATTTCCTTCAGTTCCCTGCCTGGCAAAGCTGCTTTTTGAGTTACAGTCATCAGAAACTATAAGAAATCTCAGTCTTTCCTGTTAGGGATAATGAGTTTATCATTGAATTTGTCTCCTTTTAATTCCATTTTTGGTTTTACTAAACAGGTTTCCCTTGTTTCTTCCCCAGAATGCCAGGACTGGTGGGCAGCAGGTTGCAGACAGAACACTTCCGCACTTCCCACAAACTGCACAGTCTGTTCTGCTGTGAAAAGCCTTCAGATAGTGACAGACTTCAGAGAGCTATCAGAAAAGCTCCAGAGGCATCAGCCTTTTCTAATCAAGGTAATGCAGGGATTTGTGAGGCTCGGTGATGAGTCCAAACTCTTGAACAGCATGAGCCCAAAAGCCCTGCCCAGTATTTTCACCCATGAACTCAAACTGCTCATTCAGGACATGTGTCTAAGAAGACATTTTACCCCAGTGTAAAAATGAGGGAGGAGAGAGCTCCCTGCATTGTTCCTCTGACTAATGATCATTGTATTTGGACACTTAGCAATCCACATGGCTATTGCTCTTGAATGTTTTCTAGTGGGAGGGAAATGGAAGCAGGGAGCAACCCTGGGAGCACAGCATTTATCTTTGTTTCATGTTCTTTAAGACAGGGCAGCATCTCTCCTATGAAGAACTGAAGCATTTTCAGTCCCAGGATCCAGAACTGGCAGAGGTTATAATAGAAGAAAATTCAGCTGAATTATGGAGCTGTCCATTTTTCTTTCCCTGGTGAGTCAGACAAAATGTGGTGGACGGACACATCCTTTCTGCAGGGGTGCTCAGGCTCTGCCTGTGTGAACCACCAGTGGTTCCAAGTTGCAGTTTAACTGGAGGGAAGGCATACAGGAGTGGGCTACAGGCTGCTTCCGCTTGCTGGCACTGATTTGTTCTGAGGACAAGGCTTCTGCACTAAAAATGGAGGGTTGTGGCTTGGTCTCCAGGTATTGCTTCCCTTATAAGATAAAATTATCCTTGTAAGATAAATTCCCTTATATTATTAAAATTCCCTTATAAGATTAAATCTCAGGGACTGCCTGGTCCCGTTCTTCAGGCTGTAAATCATCTGGGCTGTGATCTGATCATATAAGGCAACTCGTTCACTTTTCTATCACCTCTGCTCAGTGGAAATCCTCCACCACTGGTGCTGACTGAGAAGAGATGCCATTACTTCTGCAAACACTGAGAAGTAATGGAAAGTCAAATAATCCTGCAATTTGTGTTTAGTCTTGTGCAGAAAATACGGCCAACTCTAATCCTGCCCCTGTTAACTAAAAGCTCTTTGCCAAAGCCTTTAGTGTGAACAACTCAGAGCTCTCTAAGGTCTCACAGCAAGCACTGGTAGAGGGATGGTCAGGGTACAGAAGAATTAATCATGTCAGTCCCCCAGAGAGGGATGGAAAAATAACAAGCCCCACCTGGCCTTTTCCAGTTACATTTCCTGGTTTAGAGTTCAGGCCTTGGATCCCCCTTGCCTTGCCATATGGGTTCAGTTATGGTTGTGTATGATGCCACCTCTCTGCACCTTTTGTAATTAATGGATCTGGTCAATGACTTGGATCATTTTAAGGGGAGAGGATAATGAAGTTCAGGTGTCCATCAGGATCTGTTTGTTCTTTCTTTACATGGTCCTAGTGCAGGAGCCCAGAGGAAGGTGGGAAGGAGCACAGGTTTAGAGACTGAGGTTGAATTTTGCTCCTGGCTCCCAGGGCTAGTCTGTCATGCTGTTTATCAAGCATGAATGTTTGGCAAGAATTTTATCTGGAAAGTAGCTTTTAAATGTAAACATAATCATTGTATGATGATTCTTTAATATGGGCTGGTTTGTTTAGGAACAAGTCTGTGAATAAATCTCGGATTCTGCAGGATTTTTTCTCCGCTTCCTCTTTGCTGTCCTTCCCCAAGACAGTGTCCCTGGAGAGCTGCTTCCTCATCCGCCATCCAGATTTGGGGAATAAGGTGAGAAATTAATTCCAGAGACATTCTCTTCCTGTCTGTGAGTTGTCTCCCAGCAGCTCTGAGTTTTTGTGGGATTTGCAGGGTATTTTCAGCTGATATAGTCCTGAAAAGGAGCATTTGGTATTGTATCAGCTCTGTCCATCTGTGTGTGAAGTGGCATCTCAAGATGGTTGTGTCTAATGTGGGACAGGAGATACCCTGTGCCCATCTCCCTTGGCAGCTGGAGATGTCACAGAAACAAGGGACTTTAAAGATCATCTTGTTCCAGCACCCCTTGCCTGCTCCATTCATGTGTCTGGCCTTGCTATAGCTGGCTGAGGTGCTTTTGTGCACAGTTGGGCAGAATTCCTTTAAGAGTTGCATTTTAGGAGCTGTTCCTGGCAGTGAGTCTTACTCATTCTGAGACACTTCAGGCTTCTGGCCTGATCTCCTCCTCTGTTTTCCTGAGTTTTGGGGATGTGCAAGCCCTGCCTTGCCTTGGAGGGGAGGAGAACCCTTGCATACAGCTGACCTCAGCTAAGATTCTGTGATCCGCTGGTAACTGGGGCAGCAGCAAATGTGTTGTTTGCTCTGTCTCACCTGCCTGCAGGGCAGTGACTTGTCCCTGCTTTGGGCAGACAGAGCCAAGGAAAGCTGACCAGGCTTTTGAAATCCTCTCCTCCCATCCTAGAGCTACAGCCTGCACAGTCTCTTCGCTGTTGGGAGTGGGCAGCTTACCCTGACTGTTGCACCTCTGGACACGTGCAGAGGACACTGTGAGATGTTCAAGGTGGAGCTGGAAGCTGGAGATTTGGGTGAGTACCAGAGCTGTGGCATGCAGGGACTGGGAGAGCCCTTGGAATCAGGAGACTGCTTCCAGCTGAGTCTTTTCAGTCTGATACCTGGGATGGTGGTTTGTGCCATTGCCACCTCCAGACTGGTGTGTGCCTGCTTGCCACAGCACAGGGAGTGATCCTTCTGGACTGGGAGTTTGTGGCCTGGAACACCAACACTGGGATACCAGGGGTGCTCAAAGCTTGAGCAGTGTGGATACACAATAGGTATTAGAAAGCCAGTGCCCACTGAGGGAAGTGTCCTTGCAAAGAGCTCCAGCATGACCACATCCCTTTGTGGGAAATGGGAGCGCTTGTTAAGGATGGATTCATCTAACACAGCCTCTCCATTGCCTCTTCCCAAGGTTATGCCAGCGCAGATCACTGGACAATGAGCTTCATGGCCAGAGGGACACAGCCAGTGGTGATTTGTGATGGAGCTGCCAGCTAAAGATGGTGGGGTGGGAAAACAGAGCTGGACAAGAAGACTTTCAGCTTTGAAGCCAAGGCAACATCTTGAGAGGAGCGAGCCGGGGCAACTGGGGCAGGCAGCTTTGCCACCCTGCATGTTTACAGTGTTTAAAAGTGACTATTTTCCTGACCCTTGAGGTAATCCTTTGCCTTTCCTCAACTGTATTTTGGGAGAAGCTCAAGCTATTTATGACCCTCCCTGTCCCCTCAGGTAAGCCCTGGGTTTGCAGCAAAGGGTTTTTTTCCAGGAGCAGCAAATGGATTTCTCAGGATGAGATTCACCTTGTGTTCTTTATGGATTATGGCACTTCTGAAACTTCCTGGGGGGTTTGGGAGTGGATAGGGTGTGTGACATTTCTATGTACATTCCTCCTGAGGAGGAAGCTTTGAGCCTGTGTAATCAGGCCAGTTCTATAAAGGGAAGGAATTGGTGATACATCCCAGCTCTCCCTCACGTCTGCAGGTGTGTGAGCCCTGCAGAGCTGATCTTGGCTCCTGTTCCCAGGCTGGGGAAAGCCTTGAGCCTGAGGGCAGAAACTCTCACCCACTTCATCCTTCTAGTACCAAAAGAATCCCTTCAGGCCTCTCTATGTTGTGGTCACCCTTCTGCAGCTCTCTGTCAGCAGGTTGTGAGTGAGTCAAATGGTAATTGTGCTTTTCTTCACCTCTACTTCCTTTCCTGCAAAAACACCAACAAACACATGTTAGTGGTGCTGGCGGTGCAGGAGTTCTGGATGGAGCTGGGAGAGAGCAGCTCTGTCCAACTTTCACCTCAGACACCAAGGGCTGCACAGCCGTTCTCAGCTGCTCCTTGTTTTTGGAGGCACTGCCTGTGTTCCCAGCCCACGGTACCTCTGGGAGCACCTGAAACCTCCCTTTTCCCTGGCATATTTTTGTATTGACTCCTTCCAGACCTGGAACTCTCTCTTGAGAATGAACGTTGGTTTTTCCTGGGTCCTTTCCAAGCTGCCTTTGCTTGTTTCCTGCTGCTGGAGCAGTGCTGTCTCCAGTGCCCTGAGAGAGGCTCGGGTTCGGTGTTTGCAGGCTGCGGATGCTCCGGTCCCTTCCAAGTCTGATCCTTTGGGTCTGATCCCACTGCTGAAGATCATTTACAGATGTGTCAGGCTGAACTCATAGGCCAGGGCTGGAGTTCAGGACATACTCTCACACTTGTTAATATGGAGTTGGGAGGGGTTTTGGTCGACAGTGAGTTAACTCTGTTCTCAGGAGCAAGAGCCTTTTTCTCTGTAAATATTTTAGGTACATGTAAAATGACAGATTGGAAAATGTCTGTCCAGCCTTTGTTTTTGAGGAGAATGGGAGCAAACATTGTGCTAATCTGATTAGGAGCTGACAAAAGCTGCCAAGTGGGATGACCACTGGCTCCTGTACAAGAAAAAGGCAGAGGACAGTTCCTGCTCCAAAGAATTTAGTCTGAGGCCTTGACACTACAATCATTTCTATGCATAACCCTTGTTTTTCTCCTGTCAAAACAGTGAGAGCAAGCCCAGCACCTGTGTCAGTCTGTGCATGGCCCTCAGTGCTGGACACACACCAGATCTAGTAGAACCAAAGGGGGAGAGTCTGGCTCTCTCAGGATAGGAAAGGACTAATATAATTTGTTACAAAGTATTAAAGGGAATTGGACTAATAACACTTCCATTAGTATTCTCACTGCTTGGAGTGTATTTCACACTCATGACACTACATTCAATATTGTACATGCCAAGACACACACACACACCACCCCTCTCCCTCCTCTTAAAGCCTGGGTCTTACTTAATGGAAATTTGGGAGTTCGGTGATGGCAGAATTAGGGCCTCATTAGTGACTGTTGCTATTTACACTTTGGCAGCTTCTCAAATCAAATTCAAAGGCTGACAAGGTTACTTCACCTCTTACTGGTTTTGTATCTGACCCATTTTTGTAAAGCATTGGCTCAAAGCTGCTGCTGGAGCCATTCTTGCTGAGATTGCAGCGGTTCAGTGACACTGTCACTGCTAAGTGTCCTTGACTGTAACTTGTAAAAGAGCTGCGGAGACAATTCCCAAGTGTCTGTGAAATGCCTGGATTTTGAGAGTCACACTTAAGCCATTGTGGCTGTCTGGCTCTTTCGGGAAGAAGCAGAGAAAATGGATCTATTTACAGTTGCTGTTTGGACTGGGGGGAGGAGGGGGAGGAAGGGGCAGGTTTGTGCCTGTTTAGCAGAAGTGCTCTCACCAGGGCTTCTCCCTTCCTCGAAGAGTTGCAGCTGGTTGGACAGGAGCTGGTGAGTCTGGCCTGTGTGCAGAGCAGCCTTCCAAGTGCACTTTATGGGCTCTGCATAAGTTTCCAGCTCTGTCTCAGCGATACATTGCATATGTCCCAACCTCACTCCCTTCGGAGTTTACATCATTTGTTTTTAAGCTCTCCGGTATATTTTCTCTTCCTCTTCCAAAAGCTGTAAGGAATTAGCTGCTAAACTAAAACAGGAGGGCAGTTCTCCTGCTGATAAAGAGCCGATTTTGGCCGAAGTGCAGAGCCCCAGTCTGCAGCACAGCTTCCAGAGCAGCTCCTGTCTGCAGCTGCCAGAGGAGTGGTGCTCACACCTTCCACATGCCAGGGCGGGTGAGGAGCCACGGTGGGAAATCTGGAGGTGAGGCCACAATGGCAAAACTGGGATGGCAAAAGGGAGGATTTAATACCTTTACTGCACTTAAGCCCTGGTCATCTTCCACATCCAGACCTCCAGCTTCACAGAGTCCCTGGAAAGGCTGCAGGACTTCCCTAGAGAAGGGGTCCTAGGGGCCTGCTGAGGTGGAACTGGAGGGAACAGGGCTGTTCCTGCAGCTACTGAGGTTTCACAGCCGTGATGAGATCTCATGGAGGGGGTGTCCCACCATAGTCTCCCTCACCTCAGCTCCCCTTTTGCACGCTCTGTGCTGGTTTGGACAATCTCCCACTCCCACTCTGCCCAGCTCACAGGGGTTCCCAGTCAGCACATTTTAAAATCTCTTTGTGTGCTTCAGAGCTCATTGCCTGTGAGCTGGGAGATTGATTCCTCCTCGCCCCACATCCCAAGGCTGTAAAGCTGCTCTGAAATCACACCAGAAATCGGTACTACCCACGAGCTCAGTGGGCAGAGGTGAGGAGAGGTCACCTCTGCACTTGCCAGGCTGGAAGGACGGGCTGTCCTGGTCAGCTGGGCAGGAGGATCGTGGTTTAAAGCTGCTCCCCAAAGCAGGGGTCACTGACCGGTGCTGTCAGTCAGTCCTGAACTCAGGGTAACTGAAAGGAGGAGAAAGGATTATTATGATTTACTTCAGTACCAGGAAATCAGTGGCCCCCACGGGAGCCAAGCTGGCAGTTTCTATTGATTCTTTCTTTTGCTTTCTTTGTTCCTTTTCATTTTTTTCCCTGCCCACTGTTATTGCACACATTGATTCCCCCGAGGGGTCTCTTTGCAAGGCTCTGGAGAGCTTTGAGTCAGATTTCCCGTGAGTCTCCAAACTTCAGTTTCTCCCACCAGACCTGTTTTTGCAGTGTTCTGGAGGAGAAGCTGGTTTAACTGGGCTGGATCAAAGCACCTCCCTGCCCTTGTGGCCTCCTGGGCTCCAGCAGCAGGAGGAGGTGGGGAGCAGGAGAGCATCCCATAGTAGAGATGTGAGCCCTGTAAACACCAGTGTCTCAGAAGAGGGGATCCTTCTGCCTTGAAACCCTCTTGTTCCCTCCCTCCAGGAGGGAAGTTTCCACACACCCCAATCCCAGGTAGACATTCAGCCCTGTGGCCCCCAAGAGAACTGAACACTTCCTGGGATGAGGCCATTTTGGTGGGTACACAGAGCTTTTGCTTTCTGGAAACCAAACTTTATCCTCTTGGTAAATTTTATAGGTAGAACTCGATACCCTCCTCTTCAGGAACCTCCTCCTTGTAAAGGGCAGATTTAGTGTCCTGCTGAGTTAGACAAGGGAGATGCTGGACTTACCTTTGTTTTGGAGATTCAAATGGCAGGTGATTTATTTTTAGCATTATCTCCTTGTCTTGGGGAGGGGAGCCACATTCTAAAGGCTCAGAGGTCCTGGGTAAAGCTATATATGCATAAAGACTGTTTCAATACTGAACACTAAATTCAGTGATGGATTAAAAAAAAAAAAAAAAAGAATGTGAATATGCACTTAATGCAGAATTTTATGGATGGTCCTAATTTAATATATTGCAAACTTTGTAAATACTTGGGAAAAGCCTGTAAAGTGTGTAAATAAATGAGATTTGTATGTAAGAAGAATAAAAAAATTTTTAATTTTTGCAATTAAATACAAGTGTTAATGACCCTTTTCCCATTTCCTGATTTTTATTTTCATGTTGCATGTCAGCTATTGAGGGGTTATTTAACCTTTTTTAGGTCACTTTTTCTAAAAGAAATGTAATTTTAAATGAAAAGTCAGAAACACTTTTGTTAGAAAAATGTCATAAAGAAACACTGTGAAGAAGGAGCAGTTTGGGAAATGTTCTGTGGATTTTAGCCCGGTTCTCTGAACAAAGTTGATGCAACAGCTTTGCCTATCCCTCCTTTCTTTTCTTCCCAGTAACAATCTCCATCTTTCCATCACAATTCAGTTGATTTTAGCCAAACTTTGAGGCGTGGAAGGCGATAAACTCCTCCAGAGCTCATAAATCCGGGCGAGTAGGGAGAAGAGAGAGATCCTGCTACTCCCACAGCAGTGCAGGAGCCTTGTCAGACACTGGCCAGCCCCGCTGGAGACCCTCGAGACGTGAGTCAGTAGCAACCCAGGCTTGGTCACTTCTGTGCTGCAGAGTGGGGCCTCTGGAGCCAGCAGGCTGGAGCAGAGCCTGTCAGGTGTCGGTGTGTGGCTCCTGTCCCCGGGGTGTGGGGATGGGCTGTTCCTTGTGCGAGCAGAAGGAAAGCTGCATTCCATATATCCTGTCAATGCAGAGCCGATGTTTTGGTTATTCTATTATATTCTATTATATATATATATTATATATATATAAATTATATATATATATATTATATTTATATTATTCTATAATATTTGGTTATTATTATTTGGTTATATATGCCCTGAGGGCAGCCACAGACTCTCAGCTCCCCTGTTCGGGGCAGTTTCAGCTCTGTACCCTGTTCTTCCTCTCCTGCTCCCCCGTCTCCTGATGGTTGAGGGAAGAGGCATCAACCCTCTGCTTTCCCCTGTTCCCAGAGGCTGGGGGAGCCCAGGGGCTGCTCCTCAGCTGCCAAATGCTGTCCCCCCAACACAGACACGGGGCTGGCTGAGGTGGGCTCTGTCTGTCTGGGGAGTTGCTGTGCTGCAAACTGCTCTCAGCAATTGCATCTTGCTGCCTTTGTTTCTAAAGCAGCTGCAATTCCAGGGATAGAGTTCTCTGTGAAAACAGGGCTTTGTCAATTGTTATAGGGTGTGGATGACACTGGTGGGTATTTACTACAGGGCACCTGTGAGGAGCAGGAAGTTGATGAGGTTTTCTATGGGCAGCTGAAAGTAGCCTCATGGTCACAGGTCCTGGTTCCCCTGGGGAACTTCAACCATCCTGATACTTGTTGGAGAGACAACACAGCCTGCCACAGGCTGAAAATCCAGGAAGTTCCTGCAGATCATTGAAAATAACTTTCTGATACAAGTGGTGGAGGAGCCAAGGAGGAGAGGTGTGTTTCTGGACCTTAGGAGGGGCTGGTTGAAGATGGGAAGGTTGGGGAAAGCCTTGCCTTTCACCATGTTATGGTGAAACTCAGGATCCTGTATGGGGAAGCAAAGCAGTAGCAGGGCTAGAACCCTGGTTTTCCAGAGAGCCAATTCAACCTTTCCAAAGACCTACTCAGAGGAATCCCATGGAATAGGACTCTAGAAGGGAAGGGGGCCCAAGAAAGCTGGTCAGTATTCAAGCATCCAAATTCAAGACCAGTGTACCTCCATGATCCAGAAATCAAGCAAAGGGGACAGGAGACCTGCATGGAAGAGCAGGGAGGTTCTGGCAATTCTCAAATGGAAGAAAAATATATGGGATGTTGAAAAAGGGACAGGCACATGAGAGATCTATAGGAACATGTTCAGGGTATGCAAGGATGCAACGAGGAAGGCCACAGTCCACCTGGAATTGAGTCTGGCAAACGATATCAAGAACAAGAGCTTCTCCAAATACATCAGCAGCAAAAGGGAGAACAGGGAAAATGTGGGGCTGCTGCTGAATCCAGTGGGTGTCCTGGGCACAGAAGACACAGAGGAGGTGAAATTACTCAACACGTTCTTTGCCTCAGTCTTTACTGCTGAGAGCAGCAATCAGGAATCCCAGACAGTGGAAGTAAGAGATGAAGGAGTGAGAAAGGAAAACTTCCCCTTGGTCACAGAAAGTTGAGAGAGATCAGCCAGGCAGACTTAATACCCATTAATCCATGGTGGGATGCACCCAGAGGCGCTGAGGGAGCTGTCAGAGGTTGTTGCTTTAGCCACTCTCCACCATCTTTGAAAAACCCTGAAGAATGAGACAGGTGCCCAGTCACTGCAGAAAATGATAACTCCTGTTTTCACAAAAGGCAAGAAAGATGGTCTGGGAAACTCCCAGCCAGTCAGCCTCACTTTCAACCCTGGAAAGGTGATGGAACAGCTCATTCTGAAGATCATCACCAAGCATCTGAAAGTAAAGGAAGTTATTGGGAGTGGTCAGCATGGATTCACCAAGAGGAAATCCTGCTTGGCCAATCTGATGCCTTCTATGATGGCACAGCAGGATGGGGTGAGAGGAGAGCAGTGGGTGGTGTCTACCTTGACTTCAACAAGGTTTTTGACACTGTTCCATAGCATCCCCATGGATAAACTCAGGAAATGTGAGTGAATGGATTCTAAGATTTTGAGAAAAAGGACAGGAGGTAGAAGAGGGGACCCATAACTGAGGGCTCAGGAGATGGCTGGCGTTTGGAGAAACAGAGGCCTGGATGAAGAATGCCAGTCCAGGGATTAGAATTCAGGCATGGGGAGTGACCATGCATGTTTGTTGGCACCAGCCCCAGGGCAGCCTCTCCATCAAGGCCAGTATGTGACATGGGTGTGTCTCATGGGGCTCCAAAACTCTTAATAAATACATTTCCTCCCTAATCTTCAAGCTGTTGGGTGTTCCTTGCTTTTGGGAGGTGCTTTAAATCTGACTGCCAGAGCCGTGGGCTGCTGAGAGCAGAAGCTGCCTGCACGATGCTGAGCTCAGGTCTTCCTCCCGTTCTCCTGGTGCTCTCAGTGCTGGAGCTGAGCTGGTCCCTGAGTGATGAAGAAAAGAAAATCATCTTGGATGAGCATAATAGATATCGCTCCCAGGTCTCTCCTCCTGCCAAGGCTATGATGAAGATGGTAAGTGGCTTTTATTACAGAGGAATATTGGGGTGTTTGTGTGGTCCAAGGCGTGATCTTAATGCAAGGAGAGATCAGGGTGTTCCTGAGGGGAGGCAGAGCAATTCTCGTGTAGGGTTACAAGTCGGTGTCAATGGAGGGGTTCCCCAAACTGCCTCTAAAGAGAAGAGTTTCCTTCACCTTTGGAGTTGTCTTTGATCATTTTCTGCAAGTTCCTAAGTGTGATGTGAGTCCCCTGATGCTCTTCATGAGAATGATGCAGCTCTCACTCACATGAGTGCCTGCTGGAGCTCCCTGTGATGGCAGGAAGGGCAGGTGAGGCACTGCCATGAGCAGGTGCTGTGATGTGGAGACTTTGCCAAGAGCTGGTGGGGGAATGCTGCTGTGTGGGACATCACACAGTGCTCTGTATTTGCATCAACTTCAAACATGTCGGTCAAGTCTGTCAGTTATTTGGACTCGTCATACTCCTACTCCTCACCTTGCCTTGTGCAGAGCTGCCTTGGACATGAGGGATCCCCTGTTTTGCTTGGGGAAATCGAGTCAGGTCCCACATCACATGTGGCTGCAATGGGAGCAAAACCGAGCTCTAGAGCTGGTGCTTTTTGTCTTGTTCAGACTCTTGATTTGATTAAAAGTTGGCTATCAAATTTTATCTTGCACCACATGTGATTTTTCCTCACTGTTTACAAATCATGGGGAGGAGAAGGACTGCTGTTTATCCTGGAAAGTTGGAGCCCTTTCCTCCTTGGGTAACAGTGTGCTTGTAGGACACCTCCCCAAAGTTGCCAAGGCTGAGTAAGGCCTTTGTGGGCTAGTAAATGGTAAAAAACAAACAAAAAAAGCTAAAAGTTAAATTCAGAGAGAGGAGGTCTAACCAGTGACTGCAGACTCAAAGGGGACAGAGCCAGAACCCTCAGCACTGTGATGGTTTCTCCACGCTGGGTTGAGGATGCTCCATGATGGTGTTAGATGAGCTCCAGGAGAGGTTGTGAGGGTCGTGCTAGTGCCCTGACCTTCTCCTGTCTGACCCATAAACCAAGGTTTAGTTTGTGCTGGGACTGACCATGGAGCTCCCCTGTCCTGAGGACTGTGTTAGGGAGGGTTTTGAATTTTCCTCATGGATGGGGAAACTGTGGCCAGACAGCGCAGGGGTCCTTGGTTTGTGTTGGAGAGCCCAGTGTCCCTCTCTGTGTGCTGACACCGAGCTCCTTTCAGACCTGGGACATGGACCTGGAGATCGTTGCTCAAAACCATGCGCAGAAGTGCATCTGGGGTCAGAATGGAGGCCCAGGAAGGGAGAACCTCTTTGCTATGGCCCCAAGCCTGGATGTGAAATTTGCTGTTGAAGAATGGAACAGGGAAAAGAAATTCTACAACTTGACAACATCCACGTGTGTCCCTGGGCAGAAATGTGACAGCTACACCCAGGTACCAGCTGCTGGGGTGGAGGGGCTGTTGGGACAGGAGCTGTACCAGTGCCCCAGCTCCTCCCAAAATCCTTGCAAAAGGACAGGGAACCAGGTGGGATTCACGATTACAGAGTAGGACCTGGAGTCATCCATGAGCAGCCTTTTGGAGAAGACCTTTTTTGAGACAAGCTCTGCAACCCTTTTTTTGGCTGCTCAGCAGAGCTCAGTGCCAGCTTGTCTTGGGTAGAAGGATGAGGTCTGAGTGTTTCTTCACAGTTTGGGTGGGAGCAAGGAGGAGAAGAGATGGTGATGGTAAGTGCATGGATGGATGGATGGATGGATGGATGGATCCAAGACCAAAGCAGAGCTGGTGATGCTCTGCCTGGGTAGACTGTATGGTAGGAAACCTGTGGCACAGGAATATATGACCTTGGGAAGGTGGTTCAGACAGGGGCAAGGGCAAGGGCAAGGGAAGATCCTGAATGCCAAAGCAACATGGGGATGTGAGATCTGGAGCACA